TGGTCTACCGTATGTAAGGCAGCCGCAGGTGTTACTGACTTATAACGCAAAGAGAAAGGTGCCTAATACACTGCCTTGAACAACACCAGAGGTGATTGGCCAAGGTTTTGAAGTGTGTGAATCTACCTTCACCATGTGAGTACGATTACTGAGGAAAGACTTAATCCATCCCAATAGTAGATAGTCAATTCCCATAGTCATCAACTCACTTATTAACAGCAAGTGATCGACTCTGTCAAATGCCTTTGAAATGTCTAGATAGAGTACAAGGACTAAGTGGTGTCGGTCACGCATAGTGGTTATGAAGTTAAAAAAGTCAAGATAGCAAGTTATACATGGCCTCGATTTTAGGAACTCATGTTGACTCGAAGTGATGATGTTGCCACCAAGCATGTCCTGAAGAATGCTTTCTTTAATAACTTTCTCCATAATTCTAGAAGCTACAGGCGTTATATTTATTGGTCTGTAGTTACTGGCTTGTGTTTTTGAACCAGATTTATATCTAGGGAGGATAAACGATGTTTTCCATATATCAGGATACGCGAAAGATTCCAAAGAGAGAGAAAATATTTCAGGTAATAATAATGGCATATCAGGACCACCAAATTTAAAGAAATATGATGATATTCTCTCTGTGCCTGCGTTGCTGGGGCATTTTAGCGTCCTAATGGCTTGGTGAATATTAGAGTATGTGAATTCAACCGTATCTATTGTCGTTAGTCGAGGAGAAGAATAGCTTTTAAAAGTGCAGACTGCACTAGTGTCACACGAAAAATTTGTAGGTTCCAGATAACTAGCTTCAAATAAGTCGCTGAATATTTCATACATAACCACTGGACCATTATAAACTTTGGTGCCATGGATAAGAAGAGGAATTTTGTCTCGTGCAATTCGATCGCTTCTCAAGGAGTGCTGAGAGAGCGTATACTCTAGATGAGCTCGGTAGTGCACGACCCTCCTCATTCTTCAAACGCAAATCATGGTTGTACGAGATGGAGTTAGGAGTACCAAGAATCAACCGAAGTGCGTCGTGATGTCTGCAGTATCTTGTTAAGAGTTTGCGTGACTTTCTACTAGCATTGGGAGATATATATGGCTTATTGTTTAGTGGCATTTTTTTGAAACCTTTCAGTGGAACGATGGTACCGAGACAGGTTTTAGAGTTGTAGTAAAACATATCAATGGTTAATTTGAAGTCTCTAGTGGTGAAGAATGATCCCCAGTCAATGCACCTAATCATTGGACACATCTGCTGCCAATCCGTTCTACCGTAGTCTCTACATACTCTTTGGTGTGTAGTGGAAGTACCAATTGAAGTACTAGTTGCAGGAAGTGGCAGTGCGCATAATACCGTATTGTGATCACTTCCTGGGAACTTGGAGCCTACGTTCGTCAAAGCAGGATCTATGTTATGGCAAAATATTAAGTCCGATACATTGTAACCTCTTGTAGGAGTTGTAACAATTTGCTTCCATTCAAAATAGACAGTGAATGGAAAAAGCTGTCACACCTGGCCGGACCAGTAAGTGAATCCCACTTAATTTCAGGTAGGTTAGAGTCACCGCATGCGATCTTATGATCATGCGGGAGAGTGGATGCATGTTCCAGAGCCGTAATCAGTGGAATCTCATGATTGTTAAAGGTACCAGGTGCCCTATAAACACATCCAACCAATGCTGTGGCATTCCTATAGTGCACTGTGACCCATGGAGAGTCACTTACTATATCAAGAACCATATTTTCCAACTTGAATACATTGAGAGTGTTCTTGCCACTCCGGTCACATTGGAATTGCGTATACATGTCAATACTTATCTCTTCATCCAGTACATTTGCGTGACACGAAGACTCAGTGATAATTATTACCGGTGGCTTATATATAGGCGCGATTCCTCTTAAAACCGATAGTCTGCTGAGGACGGACATTGCATTTATGAGAACGATGTACAAGTAGGAGGAGTAATAATGTGTAAAGCTTTCTAGTTCGCGAAACAGGCCAAAAGGTATCTCAGTGTTGCTTGACCGAGTATAGTCTGACGTCGTTGCGTTACAGAACGTCACTACACCTTGTTCACTTGTAGCTGTAGAGTTAGTAGGATATCCCAGTGGTAAATCGACCGCACGGTGACTTGAAACAGTATCACCTTTATCAGGGGGGAACACAGTGATGCTTTTATTCGTGTTCAGTGTGCAAATCGTATCCAAATGGACAGAGTTTGACCCATGCAAGCGTCGCCTCTAGTATCTGTCACACAGGGGGTAGGTAGTTTTACTATTGTGCGTGGTGGGTGTGTAGAGCTGGTGAGGCCACTCGGAGGATTCAACAGACCTGCTGTGGTTTTGCATCTGCTGATGCCACTTGGGTAGTTGGTGTCTAGGACTTGTGCGTATGGTTGACTGCGTCTTTTCTGTTTCTCCGAGGGTTCAGAGTAAGAGGTTTCAGCATACCCATCAGCTGGCCAGAAGTATTACTTATCAAGGATATTGCTACTGAAACGGTCGCTCGTGTTTTCCTCGAAGGATGGATCGCAAACTTCGGATGTCTATAACAGCCGACCGCAGGCGCCAATTCGAGTGTGGGTTGTTTCACGTTTTAACTGAACTTTTAGGTTGGACTCGGCTCCGAAAGACAGCCTACTATCCACAAGTTTCCCTCTCAGCCGCAAGCACCTCAGTGGACCAAAGCTCTGCCTCTAGTCCTACCAGGCATTTGGAGCGCAGTGAAAGCCGATGCTGCATGCACCTCTTCAGAACCCGTCTATGGGACCACTCTCCGCCTGCCAGGTGAGTTCGTTTCCCCTTCAACCTTCGAACATGTTTTTGGCAGGACATCTTGTGTGACTAGGTCTACAAACAATGCGTTCAGTTGGGCCCACTTCAGTTAGACCTCAGACAACCAATGTCTCCCTTCACCCCGCTTTACAACAGACACCGCAAGTGCTCGTTCGTCACGAAACCGTTCGTCGACCGCTCGAACCACTTTACGACGTACCATTAAGTGGTCAGGTGGCACTAGAAATTCTATACAATCGAGTGAAACGAGCGTGAGGATACTGTTAGTATCGATCGTTTGAAGCCGGGTTATTCTCAGCGCAACCCCATCATAAGTGGCGTTTAATCCCACCGCAGCCAACCGGTGGTAACACAATTATCGAAATGGTTGACCATATGCCTAGCAGTACACAGATACGACAACCACCGGCACGACAAAATACACAACCAAGTCTAACCGTCAGGCTCCTGGAGTATCTAAAGACATTCTACCGAGTAGTGTCAGTTAAAATGTGCCAACCATTTTTTAATTCTAAATTTTTTTGAGGCACCAACTTTTTTATCTACCGGGAATGAGAAAGTCCTCCCACATTTTACCTTTTTGTATGAATTTTTTACGACCACGCAGTGAAACCTATTCAGGAAAGTGGAAGTAAGTACAAAATTTATTTTCGATATATTTATACATAAATTTTTCCCATCTTCACGAAGCGTTTCCGTGGTATTAAAGACTTTAGTGTTCCAAATGCAACAAGCACCGAACCGAACCTCAAAGGATGCTGGGGATTGCGATCGACATGTAGTCCGATTTACTGTATTTTACTTTTACGTCCGCCGCGACGCCCTAGAATAAGTTCAGGCATCCAGGGGCCATTTTTTGCAGTGAGTCCATCACAAGAGTTTCACCAGTGAAGAAACCACTGGGTTTTTACTTCCAGCTGGTGTCGTCTTAGGGTCCTCACGAACCCACTACGGGGTGGTGACCTGTGGCATCATACACCTCTCCAAAGTCAATGGCCTAGGGTTCGACAAGATTCAACATTGATGCTAACCTTCATGGTCTAACTAAACTCGCTACGCTGAAGGCACACAGTAGAACACCCTCACCATTTAGCACACTGTCGTGTTGTGCTGCGCTGCCCGTAATCGATCCTCTAGCCAGTTAACTGGATCGCATCGGTATATTGGCATGACGTGGCGAATATACTATTCCATCCGACTACGCGATTGTGTTCCTTCTTGGTCTTGAATCTGTGGGTATATAGCAAGTTCGAATAATTGGTGACTGGCTTCTGCGTCTGTCAAGTTCGCATCGAAACAATTCCTTAAATATAACGGTGACGTAAAGGCTTTGAGTGAACTGAGTGATGACGATGATGGTGAAGGGCCTACAGTTCCAGCCGACGTTGACGAACTAGTTGAATGATCTGAATGGTCTGACCTGGGAATCAATTTCTAGCAAAAGCGCGGTAATGCATATCGGGATACTAAGTGAATCAACCACCTTGGGGCTTAGAACTGAGTTACCTAGGCTTTATTACGGCTCGAGAAATGAGGAAAACTACAAGCTGCAAGGCTTTCACAGTGAAAGGATTTCAACAAGTTTTAGTCACTGCTCTGTGCATGCGAATGCCCTGACCCGGATGTATTTTGTACTCAAAAGCTAAATTACGTCAGGCTCCATTAAGAGTATCGCAATCAAGTAGCCAACCCCTACTTCGAAAACAAGGCTAGTAAGCTAGTGTGGATTCAATGAATCACCACCATAGTGGCGACAGGTTTCGGTTACCTTCCGTATGAAAAGCAATCATCAAGGTTAAACCTATTTCCTTATTCAGGTCATCAGAAAGGTGATCTGATTTTGGTGCTTGATGGGTTGAGCGGTTGCCTAAATATCAGTTTACATGATCTCATTACTTCATCCAGGACCATTCGTCATAAAGGCCTGCAGTAAACTGTTCAGAATTTACAGTCGATTCTCTTTTTAGTAGAGTACTGGATTTCCCACAGTGTGGTCAACGACTGGAACTCTACTGAGATAAGTGATTACAATTCTTTAAGTGAATAAACTCAACAAAAATGAGGTCTTCACAGAGATAAACACAGCAAAAATAAATATAGACTTATAGCTTTCAAACATTTGGACTGAATGTAACTGACTGAGCATTGGACATTTTGTGACGTCCTAGGCTGACGTCAACTGGGCGCCCGTGTGAATTTAGTGTGAAATGGTGCGTATATGGGTTTTCTTTGCGTTGCTGGTGTCACCCTTCGTAGCATGTAATGAAAGGCAGCCGAAAAATCTACTTGTGCTTTTGGAAAATGTTTACCTGAAGGAGACTCATTCTACCTTTTTAAATATGTTGACAAGTAAGCTCGACATATTAATTCCCAACGCAATTTAGACAGAGGTTATAATTTGACTACGAAACTTGCTGATGATCCAACCCTCTCACTCAAATACTTGGGTGAGTATGTTTACTCTGGATTGGTGGTTCTAGCTCCATCAGTTAGTGGTACGTATTGTTTTGCTTATAAACAGTGTTAGAATTTGGTGGTTCAATAAACGTGAACCAAATAATTAATTTCGTCGACGATGGAGGCAACTTAGTTGTGGTTGCTGGCCCTGGTGTTGGTGAGTCTATTCGAGAGTTGGGCAGTGACTGTGGAGTGGAGTTTGATGAAGAGAACACCTTTGTTATTGACCATTTTAATTATGACAAGAGAGATGATGGTTTGGTATGTGCATCTTCGAGTGTTATAACATTTTTAGCACTCGCTGGTCAACGTTCCTGTCAATAATCTTATCAAGAACAGTGTAATGACTGGTGGGGAAGTTGATGCTCCATTTTTGTATCGTGGTGTGGGGTAAGGTGACTCATATATTTAAACCGCATCAGAATTTCAGCCGACCCAACCAATCCGTTACTAATTGGTGTTTTGCATGGGTCAAAAACATCCTACAGTTATAACCCACACAAACCAGTAACAGACTACCCGAATACTGTCGGAACAAACACTCAACTGATAACAGCACTGCAAGCGAGGAATAACGCCCGTGCTCTGTTTATTGGTTCACTAGACTTTTTATCAAATTCGTTTTTCGAGTCTGTTGTTGAAACAGAATCTAAGAAGTAAGATTTTGGATGATTTAGTTACTATGCTCTCCAAATCAGAATGATTAATGATAACGACATCTTACGGTCTTTGAGGTCGACAAGCTTTGTAACTTAGGAAATATGTTTGGGTTTCTTAGGTAATTTTGTATGCACGTATGTACGTGAAAAGTAAGAGATGTCTGTAAACAGTCTCAAGTTGGCGAACGTCTCAAGGTTTCTGTTGCAAATATCTGGCACTGCCATGTACTCACGTCGTTCATGTTTGTAATGAAACAGCAATGATCTTTGCCATAGTTCTACGTAAAAACATTCATGCACTAAAAGCAGTCATTTGGGTCAAGTGTACCTAAATATAGCAAGTACATTTCAGATGATCGTGGTTTGGTTCGTCAAAACCCAGCTTATAAGCTTAACATTCTAAGGAATACAGTAAAGATAATACTCAGTTGTCGGGTATATTTGAATTTCTCATATTTTGCGTCGCCAAAAGAATATGCAAAATATTGTGATTCATAATCCTCCACACCGATTAAGTTCCGTCAATGTTACCCGTCAGACAAACACTAACGTAAATGTAGTTTATATTTTTGTAAGTAACAATGTTTGAAATGAAATAATTCCAACCTAAGCAACTGCATTGTGTGGTACGACACTGCCTACTTTAAAGCTAATAACAACTGGGGCATCTGCAATCTATGGTAACATCCATGAGTTTTTGTCAGTTGTGTCACTCGAAGTCACGTCTAGAAGCGTAGTGGAGGGGCATTCGTTCCGCAGACATACCTTAGTTATAGGTATCAGCAAGCGCAAAACTGATGCTCACAACTTGTTGGTCACCTATAGTTATCGGATGCATAATATTTATTGTTGGACAATAGTCAAACAAGTCTGTGCGAGAATAACATAGCAGATGGCATGACCTGTATTGATCCTTGCGATCGACAGTAATGTGACGATTCGTCTTTTGGAAATATTTGGACGTAAGCGGATACCACAACATGTCGAGCTACGTTTCCAATGGTCTTGTTGCTACAGTTTTTCTGCATCTATTTAGGCTGAGGCACTGGTTCAAACTAACGCGTCGCGTTCCACTCAACGCGTCAGATCATTATGAAGTGAGACCCAACCACGTCGTCAAAGTAGCAGCTATTGGTGGGAGGAGGAGAATAAATACGAAATCCTTTCCGAAGGTGAACTGCCAAGACCTGTTGCTCTGTCACTTTTACCACTGTCGGGTGAACATTGGTTCTTTACCTTACACCTGGAAAAAATTGTGATTTTAAACGGCTAGTTAGTGCCTTTAGCCCTCATAATGAATGTTTGGTAATTGCTTGGTACAAGAACCTATAGGGGTTTCGCTGCATATTTTTTATTTACCTGAGGACGTATGGCTCATTAGCCCAGGTTTTTAGTTTCTGAACAGTTTGCGTCATGTTAAAGCTATGCATTGAGGTTTGGGTTCGAGTTATTATCAATAGTCCTCCAGCAGTAGTCGAGTAACACGAGCCTACTCCGATTTACGGAGTTAGATAGCAATATATACTTCTTGGTGATCCTTTCAGAATAGTCCTACAGTTATCTCACTACATAATAAAGATAAATTTGGTTGTAATTGCTGCCTAAGTAATTTCGCTGATACTGTTTCTAAGATGGTGACCCATAGTTATCTGACATGTAACTGGAGCTTTGAAACTGCAAACTCAACGAAACCAGAGGGATTTAATGTCTGGTCTGTAATGCGCCTAGTGTTCACCAGCCTCCAAGTATATGGGTGGTTCGGGGCACACTCCTTAAACGGAAGCAGAGGTATGAACCTGTCAACCGCTCGACCTTATAAATATCTTCCTAAAAAATTAGTAAACGCAGATTTCATGCTATTTCAGACCCTTAGGTTTGAAGCCATATATGGATTTGTGATAAATTACATTAGTTGACTACAATTAACGCTACCCACTTTTTATTATAAACTTGTTCGTGGTGACTCGACCTGACTTGTGTATGCTATCTAGCCAGCGAATACACGAGTGACATGATTCTTACTGCCGAAAATTCAGCCTTCCAATTGTTTGATATACATTTTTCAAATGTTTTGGATACGATGATGCACCTGGTCTGGTCTGTACCGACATGTGGTTTAGTAGAAAATAAATCCACCTCAGTATTCACTTAAGGGTTCACGTGCCACACTAAGGGATACCTTTGATATATTGGTTAGTGATAGTATCTCGCAGCTTAAACATATGTAGATAACGGGAGGTCAAACCCTGGATGCACTGACTGGTTGAAAGTTGAGTATAGAAGCCAATGTACCTCAGTCTCACTAATTTACTAATGCACAGTTGAATCTGATATCTCCCACTAGTCGTACAGCCAATAATAAAGAGCTTGTCGGATCGAAATATTTCTTAGTTCAACTTGTTTTAGAAGCGATTCAATAGTTATCTAGCTGCTGGTTAACGAAATTTCGTGTTAACACTAACTGAAATACTCCGTCTTTGTCATGGGTATAGTATCTAAAATACCATTCAAATAGTAAGTGATTCTGATCAGCCCTGTTTCTCTCTAAAGTTGGTAGCAATCGAATATAAGAACGTTTGCTATAAACGCTATCACAGCTATCTTAAGGCTATCGTTTCTACTTGGTGTCACTACTGAGTCACCGGTGTTGTAAAGTCTGAGGCTCTTAAAAAGGTTGGTTGGTGCATTAGTAAGCCTGTTCTTACTGAAGTGATTCAAAAATGTTTTACTCATTTAATGATGCTACCTGCTTGGAGATGCATGATTTTGTGCTTTTTAATTCAGTTGTAGTGGATTTGGAGTGTCGGGTTGCGTTAATTGACTTTTGTCTTGGGAACCTGTATCCAGTGTTACGCTATTTTTGATAATTTTTTCTTAGGATACATGAACGCTTTATATGCTTCTTTTCAATTATTATCAATGTTTTCTTACCACAGGAGCGTTGTTTCAGGCAACAGAAAGCTTACTGATAATTTGTTGCGGTGGGTTTTGGGTGAGCGTGGTCAGCTACGATACACATATGTCAAACATCACCGTTTGGGTGAGACTGATCCACCGAGCCAATATACAATTATGGATGACGTTGTTTACACCATTAAGATAGAAACAAAGGATGATAATGGAAAGTGGATTCCTTTTAATGCGGATGATGTCCAATTGGAGTTTGTGCGAATCGATCCATTCATCAGAAAAAATATGAAACACCAAGGTATGTTGTCATTAATTTATTTGTAGTGTAGTATTGCACCTTTGTTGTAGCACTGAGAGTAAGGTGGTGTTACATCGGAAGGTATTAACTGTTATAGTTCACCTATTTGTGGCAAGGTGGTCCCTCATGTAAAATCCTATATGTCTTACAATATTTTTATTCACTCAACCAAACTAGTAACGAGTATGTAATTTCTATGTATGTACGTGAGAACACCGTGCTTTATTTTGGTGAATCGAAAACTTCCTCTCATAAACTGGAGCAGTGTTGGTACTGTCGTGTTATGTCTGCTGCCGTGTACAGTTTCACTAACTATTCAATGAATTGTCTAATATCATGTTTATTGTACATTTTTGAAATCAGGCAACGATCTAAGTGTAGATGAGGTCAGTTGTATGTTTTTACCCTTAGTCTTACACATTAGCTTATTCACTGAGATTTGGAGATAATTTCGTCCTCCGTTGACCAGCCAGCGCTAATCTTACTTCTCAGGTTAGTAAGGTGGTCTCTGCGCTCAACCATTTTACTTCCTATTGTTAAAAATGACACCAACAAGGACTAGTACTGGGGTAACAGTTTTTGTTTAAGTGGTGAGAAACACATTCCAAACATTCTCCAGTTGCCATTCAAAGTGTGCCAAAAACCGCATGTCAGCATCTTCAGCTTGCATGATTTCGTCATCTACGTACACTAGATCCATCAAGAATTATTTTGTAATAAGATCGATCCCTGTGAATTGAGACGATAAGAGAAAGATCTTTGTATGTGATAAAGCCGAATTAGTATGGAGGAAGTAGACGTTCTTGATGGACTCCACTCGACATACTCAACTCGCCTGAAAACACCACTGGCTGAATATGCTCACGGGTATTCTAGTATAGAGCCTTCAACAAGGTGATGTGCTTACTTGGTACCCCTTTCAGTATGACACTGCCATAAAATCTCTAGACCGATGGAGTCGAATGCCGCCTTCAGGTCAAGAAAAATAATCTGTCTGGGGTCATGTGCCTGTGTTCCAAAACCTGGCAGAGTGTGAATATCTGGTTAATACATTCACGACCTGGTTTGATTAAAATTGTTTAGTTTTCTCAGGTTTACTGTTTCTGAGCTTCACTTGAATGTCTGATGGTTATAGAACCCACAAACTTGTTTGTCAGACTGATTTCCCCTGTGGTTATTACAGGAGGACTTCTCACCTTTCTTGAAAAAAGACAACGAGTGATTGAGGCCAGTGAGAGGAGATCATATCTGACTCCCATAAGCTAACTGACACTTCAGCTCATCTTGTCAAAGTTTCTCCATTGCCATCCTCAACTGCTTTTAGTACTAGTCCACCTAGCCTTGGTTCCGTTCTTCGTTTTAACTTACAGCTTTCTCGCCTTCCGTGAGTGTTGGAGGGCCTATTCAGGATCCCATTGGATGACTGACAACGAAATAGTAACGGAGGGCCGGTCGTACTGTTCTTCAAAGTGTTCCGCCTATTATTCTGATCGTCGCCCCTGCGAGTGAATCCGAAATCCATCCTTAACTAGTCTCAACCACTCACTTTTTCACCCCATTTTTCTTGATAAGTATAAATAGCTGTCTACTGTTATCCATCGTCGTTGTTTTTTCATCTATTCAGCCTTCGTCACTCATGATTGCTCACAGCTGTTGCGCAGACTTCTCGTCAGTCTACATTTGAGTTGCTTCTTTTCCTCATTGTGATCGGAGCTTGTAGAAATGGCTTCGTGTGCATCCCCTGATACAGAAGATGCCCTTGAGATCCACTAACTTTTTAACCCTTTTTTGAGAGTCAACTATCGTCGTTAACACTGTTACTACCGCAGATTGAAAATGGCGGCAGTCTTCTGGATAAGTGAGGTTTTTCTGTTACGGTAACTGTCTGCCCAGTTTGTTGCTAAAATCAGCCGTAATAGTCTCACTGTCGAGCTGGATTCCCAGTGGTCTTGTTGTTACAGTTTTTCTACGTCCATTTAGGTCCAGACACGCACTCGGGCCAACGCGTGGCCGCGTACCACAGAAGGAGCTGTAATCTACCTACCATTTCCAGCGATAACTGATAGCAGTATCACGGAGCAGACTATAGCCGTTATCTGTTCGTACGGTTGGGATTCAAAAAGCGCTACTTAATCTCCTTTCTGTGTGATTTAGCCTACCCATTTGTGCATTGAAATCACACTTTACGAAAATCACGTCTGAGTGTTTTGACTTTCAGTGGAGGGGTAGACAGTTCTCAGTAGAAACGACCTTTCGTTTCGTCCGAACTGGAGTCAGTGTGTACATAGGCTGAGATTGCAAAGAGATAACTGTACGTTTCACCATTCCTTCTAGTCTTCACTCCTGTTCAGTCGAGCAGTGCACAAGTGACTGTCAACTGAAATGCAGTCGAGCAGTGCACTTACTGCTATATATACACCTGGAAGACCGCGAGAAGTAGCCATCGAATCTCTAAAAAATCGGCGAGTGTATTTCTCAGATTCACCACATTGACCGGCTGAGGTTAAGTGATTAACCGCACATGGGTCCTGTATGCATGTCTCACAAATACAGCACATACCCATGACTCGAGATGCCAATGTTTTAGTTAGCGAAGCTTGTTTGATTTGAAGGAGGGTGGGGATGTTGAACGCTCCAATATGTTATTTGGGGCGTAGTTTCGGGAGTTAAGTGGTGCTGTTCCCTGTACTCATCGTTGTCAAGAGGTGAGGATCCGGCACAAATCAAAGATGATGTAAGAATATCGACTGCGAGAAGTGGGGTAATATTAGAAGGTAATGAAATGGAAGGTGGACAGTAATCCTATGGGACTTGATTGCTAACTAAATCGTGAGGTTGGTTGACAATAAGATGTAATTTTTCTGATATCTGTAATATATTTGTGCAGCACATATGTATTTGTGTGAAAGGTTCTAAACGTATGAGCGAAAGAATGTGAGAAAGGTCGTGTAGGAAGGCTTAACTGAAGGCCAAAATAACGCTGGAAATCAACTGAGCAGAAATGGGAACGAGATGTTCTATGGAAAACTGTTCATGTTAGTGCAGTAGGGCAGTGTGACACACATGTGAAGGTTGGTGATATTACCTGGCTGCCGAAACCTAGGTGTTCAAACCCTTGATAGTGGTTGAAAGTCAACTACCTAAGCCAATGAGCTACAGCCGCAAACAAGAATGGTAGTGTATCCACTTTGGTTCAGAGCTCAATTTGGATATTTTCACTGACCATTATCTTCCAATCGTTTGTTCCCTCACACAACTTTGTCTGCTTTAATATCAATTTTTCTGTCTATCTGTTCCTTGTATACCACTGAAATGTAGCAGCTTGAACCGATGCACTTGTGTTTGAGATTCTACGTTGATCTTGTTTGTTTGTCAGAGCTGAATTCACCAACGAATGTTTTTCAACGCATAAAGGAGACCCATACTACCTGGTAACTAAGGCTTCGACAGATTTAAGGTGCCGTTCTAGTCACATTTTGTGAATAGATCTAAAAGATGTAAGGTATCAATGTTATGACCTCTCTCAATGATATGTTTTGCCATCGAAGAGCTTGAACGTCTGCTACAAACGTTTTTGGTTTCAGATGGTTCAATTTGCATTTGAAACCACTTTGGAATATGCTCTCAGGCCTTTCCCTCTTTGAATCTGTAGGTCCTGTCTGTACATGTCTTGTCACGTGTACATTATTAGATACAATGGAATATAACATTGTCCATGTGCTGCAATGGTTTAAGACAGTATAAAGATTTGGTGGTTCTTATTATCCTAATTGTAGCTGCATAGTGTATCATTCTAGTAGGAGGATTAAGTCTCTGCTTGGAGGATGGTGCCGTGAGAATCACATCTATGTACAGAAATTTGGAAACGTCTTTTTTGCGACAAAGTAAAGAGCATGTTTTGGAACTGCAACCACTTTGATGGTTATTTATGCTCCAACAGTGTTTCGGTTGACATTCTTGTCTCGTATTTCAAAGTATCGTCTACGCATATTCGTTGGATTCTATTTAATAAGCATATGACTAACACTTGCTTGTACTGAATAGGATAAAAGCTATGATAATTCAAATCTTGTCGTGTCCATGTATTTTTCCTGTACAGAACGTTTTATAGATCCATCCTGTCGTTGAATATTCATTATTCCATGAAAAACAAGCAACACCTTGTTTCTTTATAACCTTTTGTTTAAAAGTTCCACATTGAAGTGACTAATAAGCGCGGGGTTGTTATTCATTTTTGGGTTAGGGAGGGTTGTAGCACCACCCATCGGCTTCATAATATTCATCATTGTTTGTTGTACGTGAGAACTAAATTGTCTTGTATGACTGCTAGCGAAAGCATAACGCATTCAGAACTAATATTCTCCTCACAGAATTTGAGGATGGTACGTAGACTGTGGTGCTGTTATCAGCTATGGGAAACTCATATTCTTTCTAGAATAACCTCGATAATTGATCGTCTCGGTTTATAACAAAGAAAAGATCGAAAACAACAAAATTGCACGTCCATATGGCAGACAATGAGTCACATCTGACAGCCTTGCTTCTAAACCGTGTATCAATCCACTGTGCAATCATTGTCAAGAATTTCGATGCAAGTAGGTGGTCACACTAGTTATAAGGTATATAAACATATGGTAGAGTAAGGGAATTGCGGTTACGACTGCATTATTGATTGTGGCTAGAAGCCCACAACGGTTTATATTTGATATCTTGATGTCTTGATCAGTGCTTCAAAAAAGCAGTGATCTGACACCAACAACACTAATCTTTTGTTGATGATCCCTTCCTAATCGCATTTCATTCAAGTCGAGCGGATGATCTGTTTGCATATTTATTATTATTATTTGTCCTTTGGGTTCCTAATGGAACATAGGGCTTCAGTAGCACGTCTCCAGTGAACTCTGTTCTCTGAAATCTCTTGAACCTGGCTCCACGACAACCCAGAAGCTCTCATTTCCTCCTCGCACGATCTCCTCAATGTCGCCCTCGACTCGGACGCCCAACTCGTCGCTTCCCATCGGGGTTCCACTCAAGGGCCTGACGCGTGACGTCCCCAGTCGGCCTTTTCAGTGTATGCCCAATCCATCTCCACTTCCTTCTGCATATTTGTTGAGCGATAGGTTCTTGGTTCGTTCGTTTCCAGAGTTCCTTGTTGCTTAATCTTATTATTCTGGCCATCTGATCTTCAGTAAAGAGCCAGCGTAGGCAGCTGTTGATGAATGTCTGCAGTTTGTTGGAAATGTCTTTCGTAACGCGCCAAGTCTCTGAACCATACAGCAGCACTGATTTGACGTTGGTGTTGAAAATCCTCATCTTGTTCCACATGCTGAGTACAGTGCAGAAGATCTCCACACTGGTTTCAGGCTAATGGACGCCTGTCTTGCTTTTCCGATTCTGACTTTAGCATCTTCGTCTGTGCCGCCACCTGTAGTTGAAACAGTGCTGCTTAGATAGGTGAGAGAGGCTACTTCCTTTAAGTTCCTCCCGTTGATGGTGATTGGAGCTTGTTGTTGTTGTTGGTGCGGTATCTTCATCACTTCTATCTTCTCTATATTCACTCGAAGTCTCGTCTTCGCACCCTGCCTTTTCTGCCAACTTGTTAGTTTTTGCCTGTAGATGTTCAAGTTTGTGTGACATCAGACACAAGTCGTCGGCGAAATCCAGATCTTCTAGGTTCTTTTCCGCAGTCCAGCGTATCCCCCTCTTCTCGCTCCCCACTGTTTGCTGCATGATCCAGTCGACCACAGTCAGGAATATCATGGGTGATAGTAGACAACCTTGTTTCACTCCTGTCTTCACTTCAAAAGCATCACTGAGCTTCCCATTGTGAATTACTTGGCTGGCATGTGGCATCTTCATATAGTTGTTGAATGAAACTGATAAAGGTTTGCGGTACTCCGTAGTATTGAAGCAGTTTCCAAATTACCTCTCGGTCGACGCTGTCAAAGTCCTTCTCAAAGTCGATGAAGTTGAGGTACGGGTACAGTGGACTGCCATTCTATGCTCTGTTCTATGGTGGTGCAAAGCGTTGCAATTTGGTCTGCACATGATTTGTTCTTCCTGAAGCCTGCCTGTTCTGGTCGTAGTTTTGAATCCAGTGCATCCTTTAGTCTCTTCAGGATGATGCAGCTTGATATTTTGCTTGGGGTGGACAGGAGGGTGATTCCGCGCCAGTTCTTGCAAACACTGAGGTTTCCCTTCTTCGGCAGTTTGACAAGGTAACCCTTCTTCCAATCACTAGCCAGGTACCTTCTCTTCCTTCCACACCTCCTGCAATAGTGGTGTGAGCATGTCCGCTATTGTCTCTGCGTCTGTTCTCAGTGCTTCCGGCGGGATTCCATCTGGTCCTGTTGCTTTCCCGCATTTTAGTAGCTTTATGGCGCTCAGGACTTCCACTTTTGTTGGAGGATTTATGTTCACTTGTAGTTCTGTGGCTGTAGGTGGTATTTCTGGACGAAGTGCAGCTGATGGTGGTCGATTCAAGAGCTTCTTGAAGTGGTCGGCCCATTGTTTCCTTTGTTTCTCTTCTTTCGTAATTAAATTTCCGTCATCATCTTTTATTAGTTTCGTCTGCGTTGATCTCTTCCCTGATAGCAACCTGGTTATTTGATACAATGTCGTCAGGTCTCTGTCTCTCCTACCAGCCTGCAGCCTGTTCTGCTTCACTTGCCAGTGTTTCGTAGAAGTGTCTTTTGTCTTTGCGTGCACTCTTCTTTACTTCTTTGTTCAGTGTTTTATACATTGTACTCAGTTCCTCTTGTTGTTGAGCATCCTTGCACTGGTTTATCTTCTGCTTCACCATCCTCCTCCCTCTCCTCTGTCACCTTCCATGTATCCATCGAGATCCATTCCTTATCTTCTTTCTTCTTCCTTCCTAATACGGTTGTGCAGGTTTCTTTCCATATTTCTTTCACAGAGTTTCAGTGTTCATCCACACAGGTTTCTTCAGGGATGTTCCTCGAAGGCTGCCGTGAAGATTTCCTTTGTAGTTTCGTCCTTCAGTTTCCAATTGTAGTACTTAAACTGAGGTCTATCACCAGCTTCTTTGAAGGCTTTTAACTTGATTTAGAAGGTTACTTGCACTAGATAGTGAATTGTGTGAACCTACATCTGCTCCTCTTCTTGACCTTGTGTCAAGTAGGCTGCGTCTCCATTTTCTTGAGATTGAGATAAAGTCGATCTGATATTAAGTGTAGTGTGTCCTGGTGTCTGGTGAAATCCATGTGGCTTTGTGGATATCCTTGTGCTTGAACAGACTGCCTCCAATCACCAAATCGTTGAATACACAGTATTCTGCAAACAGTTCTCTATTCTCGTTCATCACCTCACCGAGCGCTTCTCGACCCATGGTTAGTTCTCTTCCTGTGTTGTCCGCTCCCGGTTTGGCATTCATGTCGCCCATTAGAATTTTGATGTCGCCAACTGGGGTGGGGCTTTTCCAGTGTTGATTGAAGTTGTCTGTAGAATTCCTCCTTTTTCTTTGCTCTGCGTTATTTCTAGGTGTATAGCGTAGCATTGTATGATTGTGACCTTCCTTCCTTTTGAGTTGAACCTTGCTGTCATGATCCTGATCATGGAGGAGATTGGTTCTCACTACACGAGGGCTTTCGATGCTCTTGGGGACATCATGATAGCCATTCCATAACTCAGTGTGCTCGTGGTTGTCGTCTGGGTGACAATATCGGAGTAGATTATTGATTCTCCAGTTGACAGTTTGGGGAGTCCACTCCCATTCCATCTGCTTTCGCAAATTTCAAGCACTTCAATGTGATACCTTCTCATCTCCCTTGCAATCTGGGCTGCCTTTCTAGGTCCAAACATGGTGCGGACATTCCATGTCCCCACGTTTACTTTCGCTTTCATCGAGAGAAGACACATTGGCCAATTGGCTTCCCGAAGGCTTTCACCAACCGGGGTAATTTCGCCTCTCCGATTCCAGCGGGGAATAATTTTGTTATTATTTTTTATATATCGTTTGTGCTTTGAAGTTTGTTTAGTGATTGGATTTGTTTTAGGGGGTAGGGTTGCTAGCCCTATACCCAACCCTCCTTCTTTACCCGGGCTTAGGACCGGCTAGTAACTAATGAACTAGTTAACCAGGCGAGGTTGTTTGCATATATAACCCTATATATTTATCAAGACTATCGTATTTTACAGCTGTTGTACGCCGTTAAATTTGGATTCATTTATTTATTATATGGAACAAACTTGGTACAACATTGACTCCAAGGTAGACGGAGCACAAAATATAACAAGATTATAAAGACGTAAAAGCGAAGGAGTCAGACAACAAGAAGATGACCAAAGACATTTGAAAAAAGTGCATTCAGGAGGCACCGATTGCTTCCACCTTGATTTCCGATGGTAGGTGATGCAAAAACGCTGCAGCGTAAACGGTTTAGACTCTAAGCTACATCTAATGACAGCCTAAATAACTTTGGTATTTTTTTATAAGATTTATTGTTTTTGCTGTTATTCGGTTGTATAAACTTACCAGTTGCAAATCTAAGGAACAAAAGTAATAGAAGTGTTGGAAATATATCACAGTGTTCAGTTCAGTTGGTAACTTGAGTTTAGTATGGCAAAGGTACGTATGGTTTTATACAGACAACTAAACTTGTCTAATGTTATGATCGCTTAAGTTGTGAAGTTATACTCATAATCATCAGTATATATGGTATAAAGAAGTAATAGCAATTTGTTTTCTGTCATGGCAAATTCGTAGGTTTCAACAGTTAGTATAAACTGAAGACATAAGGATCTCCAGGGTTTTAACTGAGCTGAAGTAAAGAAAAGGAAATAAAGATGTTTTGTGTGAGTGGTCAGTAGCGACTGCTTATTGTCAAACCTAAACTGCAGAGTCAATAAACAGTGGAAAACATTATCATTACATTTTTTCCAGTTGGGTTTACTACTTTTTGACACGTTATGGATATCTTTTATATTTCGCTTTGTAGATGGCGAATACAAACTTGTTTTGAAGTTACCTGATGTTTATGGCGTATTCAAATTTGTAGTCGATTATTATCGCGTTGGTTACACTCATCTTTTAAGCGTTATACAAGTAAGTTCTTGATTCTTTTGGGCACAGGATTTTAAAAACCATTCTAAACTGTATTAATAACTCTTATTTCTCCTCCTGCAGGTTCCTGTTCGTCCATTTACTCACACACAGTACGAAAGGTTTATAGTGGCCGCTTATCCTTATTACACCAGCGCTATATCAATGATGGTTGGTTTGATACTATTCAGCTTTGTATTCTTGTATTACAAGGATGATAAAGAAAAAGGCGAATAAGAATTTCCTACTTCGTGACATACTTCTGGGAATTTCTCATCGTATGTATGTTTTGTGTATAAAAGAAACGCTACTGTATTTTCTTCTGTGTATTAGGCATTACTTTTTGTCCTAGTGATTTAAATTCGTATTTGATTTTTCTTGTTATTCTCTGTTTTAAGTTTGTACAATATACACAAATCCTCATTGGAAGTTTGGCTCTTATTATTCTGAGTTGAATTACGCTTATTAATCTATTTGAATTACTTTGTATTTAAAGTCCATTAAGTTTATCATGCTCACTTAGCATTATGAAAATAAATCTTGACTATGGTTGGGTAACCTTCCTTGTATGTAGGGCAACGGACTATGAAGCGTACCTCTGCAACAATTCAAGAGTTTAGACACTTATCAAGTGTGTCGGAAGGAAAATGTAACCAAAAGCTCTTTTTAACTATGATCGGCTGTGTTATATTTGAAAGTTGACAAATCATCCATCCAAATCAACATAGGACCAGACGTTTCTGCCTACCGGTCCGAGTTGCCACACCTCATATCAGCACATCAAGTAAAAAGGCAGTAAAGTGGAAGATGAAGAAAAGAAAATTCAGTCGGAAGGAATACAAAGTACTAAAAGAAAGAAAGGAAGGATATCAAACTGGTGAGATTCGATATAACGTTATGATGAGGATAATGTGTGTATACATCTGCACCACTGACTTCGATTCTTAGCCATGTCGCCTAGAGTCTCCAACTACTGGTTTCTCTTGTCCTGTGGACCCCAACCAACTAGTCTGCGTCGTCCCACATGGCTCAAACCAACAGTCAACAACTTCGTGCATTGATGCCATGTTGTAGTCTGGCTGCCTCGAGCCTTTTTCCAGCCTGAACCTACTTCGGCCAACATTGTGTGACGAGGCAATCTGCGGCTAGGCATACGTATTACGTGTCCCAACCATCTCAGTCGATGAAGGTTCACGGCCGTGTCAACTGACATACCTATTCTCCCTAAAACTCTACGTCTGATTTCTGTATTGCTCACGTGGTGACCACGAAGTACGGCCCATTCTATAAGGGCAACGGTGGTCAAACAACTGAAGCCTTCTCATGTCTTCCACCTTCAATGGCTATGTTTCAAAGTCATACACTGTTTTGGAGTTGGCTACGGTCTTTAACACTACTTTTACAGCAGATTGGAGATGGCACCAAGCTTCTGGATGAGTAATAGTGTTCTGTTCCAATAACTGCCTAGCCAATTTCTCACCGAAAGTGGCTTTGGTGTTTTCGTTGTCGAGCTCCACTTGTAATGATTTTGTTGCCAAATATTTTCTACGTCTATTGAGATTCAGGTATATGCACGCTAGAACCAAAGCGTGGTCGCTATCCAAACACGTACTCCAGAAGGAGCGGCAGTCTACCAGCGATGACCGATATCAATGTAGTCTATCTGTATCCGTCGCTGAGTTGAGATCGGTGGATGCCACGTTAGACAGTGTCTTCATGTCCGAAATTTGTGCTAGCTGAAAATAAGCAGTTATCTGAGTACACTTGTAGTTGACGATCATCGTTATCTGTTCGTCCAGCCGGGATTCCGAAAGGGCCACCTGGGTACCTTTCTGTCTCGCTCAGTCTACTCACCTGTGCATTGAAATCACCTGCGACAACCACCTCATTTGAGCGTTTAGCTTTCGAAAGGAGGCTAGACAGTTTATGGTAGAACTCGTCCTTCACTTCATGCGAACTGCAGTTAGTGAGTCCGTAAGCAGAGATTACAACGAGACAACGGCGAGTTTCACTATTCCTTTTGGTTCTCACTGAGCCATTCAGCCGGACATCACAGAGGCGACTATCAACTGGGATCCAGTCTAGTAGTGAGCTTTCTGCCCTAGTGCTTAGTGCTATGCCTACACCTGCAAGACCACGAGAGCTAGCTATCAAATCTCCAGAAACTCGAAGGGTGGATTTTGAGGATTCACCATATTAACCTAGAGAGGTTAGGTGAATAACCGCACTTGGGTCCTGCATGCGAGTCTGACAAATACAGCAAACATCCGTGGTCCGAGTTGCCAGAGTTTGTTCAATGAAGCTTGTTGATCGATTTGACGGAGGGTGCGAACATTGAAGGCTCCAATATGTAATTTGGAGCGTAGTTTAAGGAGACCAGGGATGCTGTCCTGCGGATTCACATCATTGTCGAAGGCTGCAGAGCTACAAGAAATTGAAGATGTAGCATCGTTAATTGAGAGAAGTGAAGGAAGATTAGAAGGTAATGGTGAGGGAGGTGGATAGCTGTCTGAGGAAACTTCAGGATGGTTGACACTTCCCGGCTGCTCACACCGTGGAAGGCTATTTCTTCTTAAGGTACCTGGAAGAGATTTGTGTGACCGCAGGGCCCATCGGACATCTGCTTGAGGCCTGTCACACTCAGCCTTTTGTGTATGATTATTTTGAACTTTTGTTGTTTGGGGGCCGGATGGTCGAAAAGAAATTACAAATGAACCAACATCGCCTACCCGGCAGACCATGGAGCATGTTGGAGTGTGTTATTTTGGGGGCCGGCCTTTTCCGACCCCCCTTCCACTGAGAAGGCAGCATGGCACTGGTGGTCATCCAAGGGAAACGCCTCACTGCTGTCACACTCCATCTAGCTAGCAGCAGTACGACTTCGCCCTTAGACCCCCATCAAAGTGTAGTAATTTACACCAAAATGGTAACTGCTTTCGTCTAATCACCATCCAACAGACCTTTCTGGTATGGTAGAACCTCGAGGGAACAAGCGTTCCACCAGTACAGCTCGTTGGGTCATTGTGATGTGCAAACCCGACCACCACGTCAAGGTAGCAGCTTCGGTCGGGTTGACAAGTCCGTTGACAATGCTTTTGAAGTCTTATCTATTCTTCATGGGTGGATATTCAACCAGTTATATTACGCTTGAATCAAGACTCAGTATTTATAATGCATGTTTTTTATTGGTAATGCTAAAATTTTCAATTATCATCTTTGAAGATAAAATTTAACAAGAAATCTTGCTACATCTTGAAGGTTATTCAAGTTCAGTAGAACCACGTGTATTTATAGTTGCGAAGTTAGCCACTAAGCTAGACCCTAATTCTGGTTAATGATTTTTGCTTGATATTATAGAGTAAGATAGCAGTGAACAGCAGTTTACTTCTGTGGACTTCCCACCATCAGTTGAGTGGATCACAATCCCGAATCTCACTTTACTTACTAAGGCTTAGATGACCAGAAGTTATCACTAGTCCTCACATTGATTTTCAAAGATTTATCCAAATATAATTCATATCTAATGTAAACGTTTCACTTGGCGTTCAATATCTGTGAAACTATTCAATCAAATCTTGATCAGGTTTCATATAAACAAGATTTGTCCATCGAATATCAAATAGACAAAGATAATACCAAAGTTATTTGGCTGACAATACATCTCCGTAACTCAAGTTTTAAGGCTTCAATGTCATGTTGTCTAACACAGACTATATAACTTCATAATTCGAGTCATCTTTCCATCGAAGTTGTTTTTCCTAATTACCCTTTGACATTGTTTAAGTTTATATACTTTCTGCTCAGATATCTGTGCAAAGCGGTATCAAGAGGCCTTACTGCTATTAAGTGCAAGTGAGATCTAAATAAAGGAATCCAATGTAGCATTTACACTTTGACTCACTAGTGAATTCCTTAATTAACTTAAGCGGAAGGAAACACTTCGCCATCCCAGTTTGCTGTCATATTTACAAACATTTGGGGACAGAGTGTGCTTGGTCGGATATTGTTTTCATCGCCGTTGAACCCTGGGGATGCCAAGTCAGATTTTCAAAGTTCGTTTAGGGATATCAGAGGGATAGTTTTCAAATCGTGAAATCGCTGTCTGTTTTCGAGTATTTCGATGGAAGTATTACTATCACTGGAAAATATTCATTCTTTTCTGTTTTCTTATTTTGGGAGGAAGTGTTTTTCTTTTGCTGACTATTTCAGCCTAAAATTCATAGAGATCGCTTTTCCTTGTCCAGTATTCACCACAGTTCAAGTAACTTATGTGATTTGCGACATACCAAAGAATATGTACATGGGCTTAACGTGTATGATGTTTCTGGTGAAGCAGAGAAACAGTTATTCTTCAGAGAATGTTTCGAATTCGATGATATACGCAATATCGTTAAAAACGATTTTATACAGCTTTTGAGCTCGAACTTACATTTATACGTTTCATGCAAAGAGAAAACCCACTCGATAATAAGCTGAAGTGCGTTTCAACGTGTCCCTCTCTTATTTGAATCTTGTTTTCATTACATTGTTTACCTAACATGAAAATCAGATTTGTAAATGAATTACGTAGTGGCTTCATCAATGGTGGTGTGTTGGCTCATGTATATTGACATAATCAGGTTTTTCTAACAGTACACTTATTGATTGTAAGTTTCTAAGAGACTAGGAATCGTGTTTAACTGGCTTATGTCATTGGATGAGAGGTTGTGGTAGTTGTAAGAGGCTTGATTCTAGTTAGGTATCTGATGGTATGGTAGAAACTCTCAGGCATACAGCGACCGTCACACGTCTGCCAAAAGTATACAAACACGAAATGCTTCTTCGACCAGTTCTTTATACATCCACTTTAACATACCATACAACAGCGAGACAATTAGTAAAACTTCTGAAGCCACGTCACAGTTTTAAAGCATAGTTTATAGGATTCTTTTGAATTTGTTGAAAGGATTTTATGCTTAAGAGTAAGTAACAAGTTCATGATATAGCATTGCTGAAATTATTTCACAAAGAAGTTGTGAAGCATAATTTACAGGATTCTTTTGAATTTATTACAAGAATTAAATGCTTGAGAGTAAATAATTCATTTTATTGTGTGATGTCTTGTCTCTCTTCACTAACTTCCCTCTACAAGAAACAGTAGATTTTATATACGATGAGGTATCCAAAAGTCAAGTAAAAATCAAATTTCTTTTCTCCACTTTGAAAGAGCTTCATCTGAGATGCTCGATGAGTGCTGA